TGACGTATTCCTTTGACCATCGACCAAAGCCTCTTAAAGTTTACTATAATCAAACAGCACTTTAAAATCAACCCGCTGCATTATGGACAATACGGAACCGAGTTTATATTTCCTGCGCGGTATTTAAGAGGAGAATACTGAAACAAGTATAAAATAATAAAAGTAAAACAAAGAACAAAAAACTTATGCCTCACAGCCCGGTGTAATGACGTGCATCGTCATTCAGTATGTCAGCATTCGTGTAAACCAGAATTTTTGAAGAGAAAGAAATGGTTTCGGGTATATGTTAAAAGCGTTATCAGTGATAAGGCGGACATATGGCTTGCTTGAGTCAAATTTCGAGTTGGCTGCAGACATGCCTGGTTCTACTCTTCTCAATGGTACGTTGCGCATACATTTCGCAATGATGCCGTTTTTCATCCATGGACACTCGGTGCTCATATGCCCTGGATCATAAAGCCGTGACCTGTTTAAACGATCTCTTATGCTTTAGAAGCGGAAAGGCGGTGCTACGTTTGCTGCACAACGCGGGGTAACGACATGGATGGTCATTGTTTACGACAGTAGTGATTTAAACTATCAGTAGTTGGAGTAAGCCACCATTGTAATGATCACACTTCCAGCGATTGATGAGGCACCGTGACAAGCAACCAACAGTTAAAATACCTGGAAGAAGAAGCCAGACATATAAAGCCTTAATATGCTCTCTACGGGATATGAATAACAATTTAAATAAACATCTGATAAGCTTGATTGACCACACAGGAATAAACTCTTTCATGCTCATAGGTTTATTGTTTTCCAACTGATACGAAATCAAAAATATTTGCTCAAAATTCACAACTGAAATTCGCTTGTTAATGATGGCATAAGGAGCGTAACAATAAATCGAAAAGAAAGCAGAATGAAACACAGCGAACGCTGACGCGATCGAACTGTCAAACACACACGACTTTTTCATTCACTCATTAATTCCAAGGTCGAAAGAGGGTTGAAGACTCGGAGCCTCCGAACCTGCGCCTTAGCTTGCCTAGCTGAATCCGCTGCGAGAAAGCTTCGCCTTCGGAAGTGACTGTTTCACACCACGATTGAAGTAGTTAGTATCATAGTT